GTTGTATCAAGGCCAAATCTCAAGCAGCACACCTATGTACTTGGCCCATATCTTAAGAAGCACATCAACAAACTGGAAAAGGTGCAAAGACATGCTACTAAGTGGCTCCCAGAACTGAAGGGCAAGAGCTACAAAGAGAGGTTAGAGGCATTAAATATGCCAAAACTAGAAGACAGAAGAAAAAGAGGTGATATGATCACTACATACAAAATAGTAACAGGAATTGATAAAATCGATAGGGAAGATTTCCTGAGACCTGGAACTTTAAGAACAAGAGGTCATAGATTTAAACTAGCTAAACACAGATGCCGAAGAAATATAAGAAAATTCACTTTCGCAGAGTGGTAGACGGTTGGAACAAGTTAGGGGAGAAGGTGGTGGAGGCCAAGACCGTCAGTAGTTTCAAAGCGTTATATGACAAAGAGTGCTGGGAAGACAGGACACCACGAGCGTAGCTCTCATCTTGTAACTACACTTAGGTAATTACACACTTAGGTAATTACCTATCCTGTTTATGATACAAATGAATGATCTTCCAGAAGGTATATATCCTCTCAATGTTTGCTGATGATGCTAAAATTATGAGAAGGATTAAGACACAGGAGGACAGCAAGAGGCTACAGGATGACCTGGACAGACTGAAGGAATGGTCCAACAAATGGCTACTAGAGTTTATCTCGAGCAAGTGCAAGGTGAAGAAAATAGGCGTAGGGAGCAGGAGGCCAAACACAAGGTACCAGCTGGGAGAGGAAAACCTTCAGGAGTCAGGATGAGAGAAAGATCAGGAGGTTTATATCATACCAGACCTGTCCCCTGAAGCCCACATCAAAAGGATAACATCAGCGCTATATGCAAGGCTGGTGAACATACGAACTGTCTTTAGAAACTTGTGTAAGGAATCACTCAGAACCCTGTATACCTCATATGTCAGACCAATACTGGAATATGCGGCTGCTGACGTGGAGTCCACGTCTAGTCAAACGCAAAACGAAGTTAGAAAGAGTTGAGAGGTATGCCACCAGATTAGTCCCCAAGCAGAAAAGAATAAACCATGAAGAAAGTTTACTGGAACTGAACCTCTTAATACTGGAAGACAGAAGAGTTAGGGGAGACGTGATCACTACCTACAAACTGTTCAAGAGGAATTGACAGGGTAGATAAAGATAAACAGTTTAACATGGGTGGTATGTAAACAAGGGGACACAGGCGGAAGCTGAGTACCCAAATAAGCCACAGGGGACACTAGAAAGAACTCTTTCAATGTCAGAGAAGTTAACAATTGGAATGCATTAGGCAGTGATGTGGCGGAGGCTGACTCCTTACACAGTTTCAAATTTAGAAATGATAAGAGCCCAGTAGGCCCAGAAATCTGTACACCAGTTGATTGACAGTTGGGAGGCAGGACTATAGAGCCAGAGCTCAACCCTCGCAAGCACAACTAGGCAAATACAACTAGGTGAGTACACAAAACTTGTGGAGTTAAGTCGTTATGTAACCTGAATACACTGAATACATTCTGAAATTTATTTGTTCAAGCTATAACAAAATAATACTGTACAGTGTATGAACTATCACGTATTAAATTTGACCCACTGCACACAATTTAAGATAAATATGGCAAAACTATCCAAGTGAAGCTTCGTGCTCAAAATTTAATACCCGCTAAATGATTCCTCTGAAAACAGGCCCAGTGACTTTCAAATGCCCAAAACTAACTTCTTTTTATATTACGATTTTGTATGAACTTAGAATTTCAATCAATAAAACAAATATCGAATACAAGGAAATAATGCACGATATAAATTCTGGCATAACAAAACTCAACAATCTCAAAATAAAAACCAACCAAATGATAATTCGTTAACCCTTATCCAGCGGTTATCATCAACTGGTTATTCATAGGATAACGCGGATATCTGGGGGGGTAGAAATAGCCTAAGCTACTCTATCCCTTTGAGATCTATTTCTTTCTTGTCTCAATAAACACACTTGAACGCGGATATCGCCATGTGAAGATTTAAACAAATATTGTCTGGGGTTTACACGTAGCAAACATGGATGATGCAAATATGGATACAATAGGTCTATGTGGATGTAACGTAATTTACCCCTGACCCGTGAAAAAATCCTACCACCATTTCAGGGTACAAATGTGCTTATCATCATAAATCTAACTAGGGAAATGTGCTTATCATCATAAATCTAACTAGGGAAACGTGGTTATCATCGTACGATGATTTAAACAATTATTGTGTGGGATTTACATGTATGATGTAAATATGGATATAAAAAGCTCTCTGCGGATGTAAATAAAGTAAAACAAGTGAGAAAACAATCGGTGAAACATCGCAAGATAAAACAGGAAGCGTCCGCTTGGTACCAATGGTCTCTATAATTGTTGTTGTATGGTACCAATGGTCTCTATAATTGTTGTTGTATGGTACCAATGGTCTCTATAATTGTTGTTGTATGGTATCAATGGTCTCTATAACTGTTGTTATATGGTACCAATGGTCTCTATAATTGTTGTTATATGGTATCAATGGTCTCTATAATTGTTGTTGTATGGTACCAATGGTCTCTATAATTGTTGTTATATGGTATCAATGGTCTCTATAACTGTTGTTGTATGGTATCAATGGTCTCTATAACTGTTGTTGTATGGTATCAATGGTCTCTATAACTGTTGTTGTATGGTACCAATGGTCTCTATAATTGTTGTTGTATGGTACCAATGGTCTCTTATAATTGTTGTTATATGGTATCAATGGTCTCTATAATTGTTGTTGTATGGTACCAATGGTCTCTATAATTGTTGTTGTATGGTACCAATGGTCTCTATAATTGTTGTTGTATGGTATCAATGGTCTCTATAACTGTTGTTGTATGGTACCAATGGTCTCTATAATTGTTGTTGTATGGTACCAATGGTCTCTATAATTGTTGTTGTATGGTACCAATGGTCTCTATAATTGTTGTTGTATGGTATCAATGGTCTCTATAACTGTTGTTATATGGTACCAATGGTCTCTATAATTGTTGTTATATGGTATCAATGGTCTCTATAATTGTTGTTGTATGGTACCAATGGTCTCTATAATTGTTGTTATATGGTATCAATGGTCTCTATAACTGTTGTTGTATGGTACCAATGGTCTCTATAATTGTTGTTATATGGTATCAATGGTCTCTATAATTGTTGTTATATGGTACCAATGGTCTCTATAATTGTTGTTGTATGGTACCAATGGTCTCTATAATTGTTGTTATATGGTACCAATGGTCTCTATAATTGTTGTTGTATGGTACCAATGGTCTCTATAATTGTTGTTATATGGTACCAATGGTCTCTATAATTGTTGTTGTATGGTATCAATGATCTCTATAACTGTTGTTGTATGGTACCAATGGTCTCTATAACTGTTATATGGTACCAATGGTCTCTATAATTGTTGTTGTATGGTACCAATGGTCTCTATAATTGTTGTTGTATGGTACCAATGGTCTCTATAATTGTTGTTATATGGTACCAATGGTCTCTATAATTGTTGTTATATGGTATCAATGGTCTCTATAATTGTTGTTGTATGGTACCAATGGTCTCTATAATTGTTGTTATATGGTATCAATGGTCTCTATAATTGTTGTTATATGGTACCAATGGTCTCTATAATTGTTGTTATATGGTACCAATGGTCTCTAACTGTTGTTGTATGGTATCAATGGTCTCTATAACTGTTGTTGTATGGTACCAATGGTCTCTATAACTGTTGTTATACAGTACCAATGGTCTCTATAACTGTTGTTATACAGTACCAATGGTCTCTATAACTGTTGTTATATGGTACCAATGGTCTCTATAATTGTTGTTATATGGTATCAATGGTCTCTATAACTGTTGTTGTATGGTACCAATGGTCTCTATAACTGTTGTTATACAGTACCAATGGTCTCTATAATTGTTGTTATATGGTATCAATGGTCTCTATAATTGTTGTTGTATGGTACCAATGGTCTCTATAACTGTTGTTGTATGGTACCAATGGTCTCTATAATTGTTGTTATATGGTACCAATGGTCTCTATAATTGTTGTTATATGGTACCAATGGTCTCTAACTGTTGTTGTATGGTATCAATGGTCTCTATAACTGTTGTTGTATGGTACCAATGGTCTCTATAACTGTTGTTATACAGTACCAATGGTCTCTATAACTGTTGTTATACAGTACCAATGGTCTCTATAACTGTTATATGGTACCAATGGTCTCTACAACTGTTATATGGTACCAATGGTCTCTATAATTGTTATACGGCACCAATGGTCACCATAAGTGTTGTGTTATACAGTACCAATGGTCACTATAATTGTGTTATATGGTACCAATGGTCACTATAATTGTGTTATATGGTACCAATGGTCACCATAAGTGTTGTGTTATATGGTACCAATGGTCACCATAAGTGTTGTGTTATATGGTACCAATGGTCACCATAAGTGTTGTGTTATATGGTACCAATGGTCACTATAATTGTGTTATATGGTACCAATGGTCACCATAAGTGTTGTGTTATATGGTACCAATGGTCACCATAAGTGTTGTGTTATATGGTACCAATGGTCACCATAAGTGTTGTGTTATATGGTACCAATGGTCACCATAAGTGTTGTGTTATATGGCACCAATGGTCACTATAATTGTGTTATATGGTACCAATGGTCACTATAATTGTGTTATATGGCACCAATGGTCACCATAAGTGTTGTGTTATACAGCACCAATGGTCACCATAATTAAAGATTCGAATGCAACAAAAAATATTGATGACATACTGAAGCAAAATTGATCACAAGGGTAATGATATCTGAGTGAATATATAGGGTTATGCAGTGGATTCCAGTATATATTCCAACATAATATATCAGGAAAAACTAGAATATATTGTAAACATGTGTGTTCTGTTTAACGTATGCTACCGAGACTGAATATAATACACTCACCTGACATGATGCAAACCCCTTCAGCAATTAACCAGCACGAAATGTATTTGTACAGAGTAATCTTGGCCCATATTCCCACGACCACGTGCCGCCACCACAATGACATATCCTAAAAATAATAGAACTATTGACATATCCCAATAATAGAACTATTATTCAAAATTATGAAATGTGAAATGACATAGGTGTACGTCTAAGCAAAAAGGCGAGTACATATCCCGACACACTGAAGTCCACGGGATTTAGGATAGAGCGCATTATATGATAAAAAATGTGGTCCCTTCATTAACATGACGATAATGTTTAAAGGGACCACACAAGTCCATTGGGAGTAAGAAATAATCAGATTTAGGATAAATCAAATGATTCTATTCAGACGTATTGACTAGTTATGGCATTTTCACTGCTTGCCACAATGTGATGCCGAGTCGCACGTCACTCTGCTCGAGGGGGACGATGAGGCATGTGGTTCAGGGGTCCATGTTCAGGCATTTCTCCTGACAAAATGCCACAATTGGCCTGCAACTGCTCCCACATTATAGTAAACAAAGAAGAGAGGTTAGTTTGTAATGGAAGATTTCATAGAGGGAAGGTTTGGTATCTAAAGATTATGCAAGACAAAGTTGAGGAGAAATGAGGAGAACTTTAACTGCATGAAAAATGATACTGGGCAACCTTTCCATGCGATGATTTCGGGGCACAACATCCCCGCGGCCCGGTCCCCAACCAGGCCAGGCGACAATGAATAACTTCTTGTGCAGTTCATAGTGCTGCTGTGATTTTGCATAAGCAGTGACCAGCACAAGTGGTTCACAACCTCACGAGTTGGGATAGATTTCTGCGCCGGACACTGTTGTCTTGTTTTCTGTACTTCACGAGTTCAACAAGGACACGGACATTAGTTGTAGGATGTATCGTGGGAAAGGTCAGTTCGCTGCCCTAGGGAGACTTGCAGTCTCCCTAGGGCAGCGTTGCAGTCTGCCCTAGGGAGACTCTCAGGATTCCTATTTCTAATAATGGGAATCCATGTGTTGCGCGATATGCCTTAGTGCTACAGTCCAGCACATCATCTCCTCGCCAAAGTTGAGAGTCATTCCGAATCATACCCAACTTATACGACTGCCCCAGACTATATTTACTCAATTAGAATATAAATGGTAAGGTAGTGATCACCTAATAGAATATTTACTGCTTGTTGTACTAGATTGTTCTAGAAACAAGATAGCGCTCGACTTAGCAGTGATGTTGCAGTACACGTTGCTTGCACAAGTGACATGACACCACGGAGGGATGTGGGTGGCAGAGCAGGAGGGAGGGGTTATAACAGGGCCATGATGGTGTGAGGGAGGACGGCAGTGGCTTGGGTGTGTGTGTGGGAGGATCCCACCACCACAGTGCCATTGGCGGCCATGGTGTGAGGGAGGACGGCAGTGGCTTGGGTGTGTGTGTGGGAGGATCCCACCACCACAGTGCCATCGGCGGCCATGGTGTGAGGGAGGACGGCAGTGGCTTGGGTGTGTGTGTGGGAGGATCCCACCACCACAGTGCCATCGGCAGCCATGGTGTGAGGGAGGACGGCAGTGGCTTGGGTGTGTGTGTGGGAGGATCCCACCACCACAGTGCCATCGGCGGCCATGGTGTGAGGGAGGACGGCAGTGGCTTGGGTGTGTGTGTGGGAGGATCCCACCCACCACAGTGCCATCGGCGGCCTTAACTTTCTAATTTATATCTATACAAACACCAAGAGAGAATATGGTAGTAAATTCAGTAAATACTTAGACAAGTAGTAAGACACCAGGTAGTCTGTCAAGCCAGTCACATCAGTTGTCTTTCAAGCCTGTCACATCAGTAGCCTGTCAAGGGAGTAATGAGGTAGCCTGTCAAGTAGTCACATCAGTAACCAGTTAAGGCAATCACATCAGTAGGCTGTCAAGCCAGTCACATCAGTAGGCTGTCAAGCCAGTCACATCAGTAGCCTGTCGAGCCAGTCACATCAGTAGCCTGTCAAGCCAGTCACATCAGTAGCCTGTCAAGCCAGTCACATCAGTAGCCTGTCGAGACAGTCACATCAGTAGCCTGTCAAGCCAGTCACATCAGTAGCCTGTCAAGCCAGTCACATCAGTAGTCTGTCAAGCCAGTCACATCAATAGTCTGTCAAGGGAGTAATGAGGTAGCCTGTCAAGCAGTCACACATCAGTAGCCAGTTAAGACAGTCACATCAGTAGTCTGTCAAGCCAGTCATCAGCTGTTTGCAAAGCCAGTCTCTAAAATCAAAGTCAATGAAAATCCAATCTGAAGGGAGTCAATCAGAGGTCCATTCAGTGTTTTGATCAATACAGTAATGGCTTATAAATGTAATGGGCTGAAACATACTATACAGAAATGTACAGTACTGCCACAGAGAAAGCCATAAGTGTGCACGCAGGTCCCTAACCAGTGGTTATCTTGAGGTTATCTTGAGATGATTTCGGGGCTTTTAGTGTCCCCGCGGCCCGGTCCTCGACCAGGCCTCCACCCCCAGGAAGCAGCTGTCGCTGACTAACACCCAGGTACCTATTTTACTGCTAGGTAACAGGGGCATAGGGTGAAAGAAACTTTGCCCAATGTTTCTCGCCGGCGCCTAGGATCGAACCCAGGACCACAGGATCACAAGTCCCGCGTGCTGTCCGCTCGGCCGACCGGCTCCAGTGTGTCGGTGGGTCCGTCCTAGACTTGTGCCGCTCACAGATAAACATTGGGGCTCTATGCCGCCAGAACTGACTTCAAAATTTGTATTAACATTTCAGATTTTCGGCTAGAAATAAAAACTCTCAATACATCATTTTAGTACTGAAATGTTTACACTTGCTTCCCCTAATATGTAAATTGTCTGAAATACATAACTTCACACACTAGTTCAGACATTTACATTTTATTACATATGTATGCCACTGTTCACTGATGGAACACATTACAGTACTAAGTGACAGCTTTACATTTGAGATTGTTCACATTCCTATACGGATTTACTACATGTGACATAACTGACACTTCGACAACAAACCGACAGTATGCAAACTTTTGAGAATGTGGCAACTGGAAAACGACACTGTCAAATCTGGGCAACTGGAAAACGACACTGTCAAATCTGGGCAACTGGAAAACGACACTGTCAAATCTGGGCAACTGGAAAACGACACTGTCAAATCTGGGCAACTGGAAAACGACACTGTCAAATCTGGGCAACTGGAAAACGACACTGTCAAATCTGGGCAACTGGAAAACGACACTGTCAAATCTGGGCAACTGGAAAACGACACTGTCAAATCTGGGCAACTGGAAAACGACACTGTCAAATCTGTCAAAAAAATAATAACACTGACAAACAACATTATACCTAATAAATTACTCATCCTACAAACATGAAATTAAATGAAAGTGATGACATTACATGTCACGACTCGAATAAACTTTTGGACTCAATGGACTTTTGTCCATCCTGGACTCGTTTTGTCCAGGATGGACAAAACGTCACTTTCATTTAATTTCGTGTGTGGTTGAAGATATTTGTTTTCAGTCACGTTATTGTAACTTGTTCTCTGCATAATGCCCTAAAACCTATAACCCTTGGTGCCTTTTACACACAGAAATCACAATAGCGTGATGCATCAAATGAATGTCGTAGCTCAGTCGATTAAGGCAGCATCTGGGATCCTTTCGGACGTAGGTTCGAACCCTCGTCACGGCCCTTGTGGATTTGTTCCTTGGTGCATTTTACAAACACAGTACGGTAACAGAATTATGCCACAGGAGACGACTACTCGAAACCAGTGCTATAAAACAGATGATCAGTGTGAGAATAAATACGAGGTGACGTGGTGTGCCACATGTAGTTCTGTATCAGTACATGATAAGTTTGCCACACTTCAGTCATCCTGCTATGCCTTACAGGCAATATCACCAGGTTTCAGATGAAGATCATGATAGGAGTAATTACTCGATATGAAGCTGGAGCCAGATTCATGAAGCAGTTTCGCAAGTACAGTGGTGCCTCGATTAACGAGTTTATTCCGTTCCGGCACCGAGCTCGTCATGTGGAAAACTCGTCTTGTGAAACAACAACAAAACTATCATCGGAGGTGTCCGAGAACAAGCGGGAACACTCGTTAACCCTTAAACTGCGCAAATCATATATATATATATATATATGATATCAGTGACAAAACCGAAACCGCGCACATCATATATATATGATTTCATGTCTAGCGTTATAATTTAAAAGCCCCGCCTGGGATAGGGGCAGCTATAGTACAGCCATGACCGATAGTTGCCAGATGCCACCTAGAAAAAATATCCAGGCCAACATTCTTGGGTATTAGAGCGTCAGTATTGAGCAAGCCACCAAGGCTGGCGCACACAGCATGAGCTCACAGCACCGCTGTCCAGCTTGTAACCACAGCATCGCCTACAAATGCCACAATATACATGATACTGCTATTATTTAGCAGTGATAGTATTACTGAAGCCCCCTGACTGTGATAAAACTGACCAGGATTCTGATAATAACAGGATTGTGGTGATATTTAGCGCTGTGCTCCATGGAGGAAGGAGTAAGGCTGTGGAAGGGAGGGTTGTGGCGTTGTCTTCTGACTGTGTGTGGCCACCATTTATTGACTGCACTCACCATACCAGCTTAGTGGTTCACTATGGTGAACACAAATGTAGATACTTATATATAACGTGTGTATAGTGTGAGATAACAGCAAGAGGAGTAGGTTGGGAGCCGCCATTTTGGTGAGGGAGGAGCGTCGTCTGCACGACTTGTCATGTTTACTGATGGCCACTATGGTCTTTGGGCACCATACCAGCTTATTTGTACAGGTATGGTGAATAAAGCAGGTAGATACTTATATATAATGTGTGTATATATAATAACACCACAAACAATATTGTTGGAGGAGAAATATTAGTGCGTCTGGCCATGAGGGCGGCTGCCGATCAGCTGACTGTGAGAGTAGCTACGACTTTGTGCCTTGCTCACCATACAAGCTTAGATGTACAGTTATGGTGAACAAAACATGTAAATACGTATATATAACATCTGTGTATAGTGAATAAATGCAAAAACAG